GTATTGTAGCTGTATCACTTTCTACTCGCATTCCCTTCCTGCCTAATCACAGATTTGGTGATTATCCTTGCAATCCAGATGTTTATAATTTTATATGTCCCTAAACAATTTGTAGTATCACGTCTCACCTTTAAAGTACTAAATAAATGGTAGTAAATAATATGTGTCCTTCCGCAGCTGTTTTTGCTAAACATTGTTCATTCAGTAAATATTTTTGAGTGCCTACTATGTGCTAGGGTTACATCAATGGACAGAGAAAATTTTCTTCTCTTGCAGAGATTTGTTCTAATGGGGGAAAATAAATAATAACCACCTAACATTTTAGGACCTGAAATGGTGTTAGGGGCTATGAAGATGAATAATTAGGAAAAGGGATAGGAAGAAAACAGGCTAGATTACAATTCTAAGCATGGTGGGCATGTAAGACTTCACTATTACATATTCTCAAATGTTTTATTCAAAAATAATCATTTGTTTATAGGAAGTTACAAAGATAACTCAGAGAGTTACAGTTAGTCTTCATCCAATTACTCCCAGTAGTTAAGAAAGCAGCATTGGCGGGGGATTTAGCTAAGCGACATAGTGCCTGCCTGGCAAGCACAAGGTCCTGAGTTCGATCCCCGGTACAAAAGAAAAAAGAAAAGAAGGAGGAGGAGGAGGAGGAGGAGGAGGAGAAGAAGAAGAAGAAGAAGAGAGCAGCAATGGTACAATGGTGTATAGCATGCCATTTTATCACATCTATAATTACTCTAACCAGTATCACAACCAAGATTTAGAACTACTCCAACCCCGTGAAGATACACCCTGTGTCACTTAATAACACAAAGATATCTTTATCTTTCCCCTCATCTACACCATCTCTAACCCCCAGAAACCATTAATCTACTAGCCTTGGCAGTGCTTCACTTCATATAGCCATTCTCTCTCTCTTCATATAGCCATTCTCTCTGCGTTGGGTCAAAATTTACCTTTTTTGAGAACACCAGCTGTATTGGATTAAGGACCACCCCAATGACCTCATCTTAATTAGTAATTTTTCCTTTTCTGTATTGCCAAATAAGATGACATTCCAAATAAGGCTATGTGTTATCAATGTAGCTTATCACTGTTCACTAATGTTATGGTCTGGGTCTATATGTTCCCCCAAAGCCTCATGCAGTCATAGGTAGGGCTTTTCATGAACTGTTTCTCCTCTGTGATGCTCCTCTGCTATGCCATCCTGCCTTGGAGACTCTACAAATTGCTTGAAACCTCTGCAAACTGTGAGCCAAAATAAATCTTTCCTCCTGCAACTTCGTCTCAGCCACAAGAAACGTAACTAAAACAGCAAACCTTTATCATTTGGCAGAAATAGTTTGCATCTAGTTTCTCCACTTTTTAGTTCACTCAGGAGGCTGAGGCAGGAGATCACTACAAGTGCAAGGCCAGCCTGGACTACATAGCATCTCCCATGTCTAAACTGTTAGCTTTGGAAGGAATTCACCATGTGCATCCCACAGTTAATGACTGGGGAGTTATTATCCACTTTCTTAGGGTAGAGTATCTACATAAATCATTTAAAATTCTTGTGTAATTATTCACTTTTTTGGATCCATATGGATTCATGGGTTTTTATCTTATATTTGAGGTTAGAATCCAACACTATGTTGCTTTGTTGTTCATATTCCCATTTGGAAGCTGTTCAGTTGGCTTGTGTGTCCTTTAAGCATATTCCCATCAGTGTGTTCTATTTTTTTTATGGTCTAGAAATTAAATCCAGGGCCTTGTGCAATTAGGCAAGCATTCTGTGACTGAGCTACATCCCTAATCCCCGTCATGTGTTATTTTTGAGCATGTCCTTACTTTCTGGCACCAGAAAATATTCCAGGATCATCTTGTATATTCCCTACCTATGCTCTGGAATCAGCCATTTGATCAAGGAGCCCTTGTTTTTGTTTTTAATTAAAGAACAGTATCAGAAACCAAGAGGTGCTAGGTCTACTTGTTGCTACAGAACTGTCATTGCTTCTAAGTGCCCCTCAGCAGACAGAACAAGAAAATATATGTTTCTACTAAACTATATATACATTGATATTTATAAATATTTCTACATGCATCCATTTGTATCTATATTAAGCTAGACCTGCATTCGTAGGATATCTTCAAATCATCTATTACAGTGAGAATAATTCTGGTCTCCTTTTGCTTGTTTGTAACTTCACATTCCAATAGTGAGAAATCTGGCTTTCACCACCTACCACTCATATACTTAATTTTTCAATACTAGTATGTCCATATATGGTGATTTCAGAATTGTCGACCTGCACCCCCACAGAGAACAGTTTACCAGCTAGATCTGGTCTTTAGGTACAGTTCTTTTTATCTTTAGATTTGGGCTCTACTCATTTCCAAAGTTACTTTCCAAAGTTAGCTCAGTATGTTTTCTCCTTGACCTCTTCAGTGAGGTCATTTCATACATTTGCAATACAGTTAGATCCTTTTGTCATAGTCTACCTTCTATGTGGAGGTCTCTGAAACTCCTATATGATTTGGAAAAAATTTTTGTGCATTAATTTTATGAGGAATTTTTTTTTTTTGGTTTTTTGAGATAGGGTCTCACTCTGTAGTCCAAGCTGGTCTCGAACTCATGACAATCCTCCTGGCTCGGCCTCCTGAATACTGGGATCACAGGTGTGCACCACCATGCCACCATGTCTGGCAAGTTTTATGAATTTTAACACATGCACAGTGGCATATACCCAGGACTTAAAGTATCATACAGAATGGTTTCACTGTCCTGAAAAATTCACATATACAACCCTCCTCAAACTCCTGACAACCACTGGCTTGTTTACTATTTCTACAGTTTTGCTTTCCCTAAAATATCATATTAATGGAATTGTACAGAGTGTAACCTGTGATGGTTGAGATGGGTTAAAGGATGCCTAGATGGCTGGTAAAACACTTTCTGTGGGTGTTTCTGGAAGAGATTAGCTTTCGAAGCGGTGAACTAAAAGATGATGTGCTCTCATCAGTGTGTGTGTGTGTGTGTGTGTGCATGCGTGCGTGCGTGCATGCATATGTGCATGTGTGGATGTGTGTGTGGTACATCTCCATCCAATTGGCTGTGTTCCATTGGAAAATACTGACTAATATAGTGCCTATTTCCTGCCAATTGGATCTAGAGCCCAGTCAGAACTGTTCTGGTCCATTTTGTTCAGCTGGTATCACCTCTGCTTGATCCTGCTGACTATGCCTGTGGTGTGCAGTGCACTTTTTGAGGCCTGCCCTGCTAGATGGACTATGGGACATGGTGGACATGGGGCATTGAGTGTCAGTGCCAGTGGACCTCCTGCTTGATTCCTGCTGGTGTTGCTTGAGAGGGTGTGGAAGGAGCTTTCCTGGGATCCCCATTACTTCTAGGTGGTAAGAGGAGGCCTCTGGTCCCAGGGCCTGCTCTCTAGGTAACTTGGTACTGATGGCTTCTTATGCAATCTACCTAGGTTTCCTACTGCAGCTAATTGTAGAAGGAGAGGCTCAGCAAACATTGGGCATGGGTCACCATTTGGGTCTGGAATCTGGGCGTGGCTTAGCTGCATCTTCTGCTTCAAGGTCTCAGATTATAATCAAGGTGTCAGCTAGCAATGAGATCTCATCTGAAGACTTGACTGGGGAAAGATTCACTTCCAAGCTCACTTGATGTAGTTGTTAGCAATGTTCAGCTCTTTGAAAGTTGGACTGGGAGCCTCAGTTCCTTTCTTGTTCCTTGGCTGGAGGCTGCTTTCAGTTTTTTGCCAAATGGACCTCTCCAGTATGGCAGCTTGCTGCATCAAAGCAGCAAGAAAAGGTCTACAAGTAAGACAGAATCCTCATTCTTATGTCACCTAGTCATGAAAGTTACATTTCATTTCTATTTGTTGGAAGCAAGTCACCATGGATCCTAGGAGAAATTGGTCATAGTAGATCTGTCTGCCATAGTCACCATCAATATTCCTTACAGTTTAGTGTTCAATAGCCAATAACACTTATCATTTAAAAACTATTTACTAAACATTAGGTTTTATTCCATAAAAAGGGATTAAAAATAATAACTCACTGTGGGTTTAGAACTTCCAGTTCTTACAACAATGCTATAAGCCTGCACTAAATTTATGAGATTATTTATGACATAGTTATGATGACTACATATTCTTACAGAGGTGGTTCCTCCCTTTTATGAGCAATTGTAGCACTTTTAAACTGGCAAAAGGAATATTTATGAATACTCTTAAATCCCTTGCTAGGCTTTAGGCTCCTTAAGGACAAATTATGTTTTGTAATCTTTTTTTTTTTTTGGTACTGGGGATCGAACTTGGGACCTTGAACTTGTGAGGCAGGCACCAGAACCACTGAGCTAAATCCCCAGCCCAAGGACAAATTATGTTTTGCCATCTTCCTATCCTGACCAAAAGAGTACCTTCACCACAAAGTTCAGTTAATGTCTATTAAAAAAAACCCTCCTATATCATTTTAAAAAATATAAAAGCAATATCTATCTTTAGAAGAATGAAGATAAGATACTATTTGGTAGAATGTCTTTAGTTCACTAAGTTGAATCAGATACTAGATTGAATACTAATTGAGGAATTTAATTACAAGCAATTAAAACATAGTAAAACATAGTAAATACCTGATGAACAAGTTGATGAATATTTTTTCCCTTACATACACATCCCTTTGACAATGCATGTGTGTGTGTTTCCCTGAACAAGTCTGTGTATTTCTTCATAAAAATCATTTTATATCTCCAAAAGTATTTCTATATTACATTATATTATATAAGTAATATCACAGTTATAGTCCACTTATTCTTAATTCAACCTTGGTAGAATTAAATAATTCAAAATTGCAAGGAGAAGACATTTATTTTGGAAAATTGTACATCTCTGTAAGTTTCTTTAAAAAACTGGAAAATTTCTCATTTTATATTTGAGAGATTATTGCAATTCACTTGTTAATCTATACACTGAGTAGTACATCCATCAAAACATTTCTGGTAGCCACACTATCTTAACATGTTTAATTTGTGGGGGAATTTTAAAATTTGGGTCCCAATTATATTCTGGTGATAATAGCTGAGTGGGTTTATTGACAAAAAAGTATTTATTTAGGTGGCTTTCATATGTACTGGTAAGCTCATTTGTGATATCATGTGTATTTCCTATTAGATATTGTTTAATGAGGGTTAAAACCTCATGGGGTGTCGCGCCTAAAATGGCATGATGGTAATAAAAATCTCCCTTTTCAAAGGGCATGAAAGCTGCTGAGCTAGCTCTTCTCTCATATGGGAAATCTTGAGTATTTTTAAAATACCACCACGCATGAAGTTGAGCTACAGACCTGCCCAGGGTTTCCACTCCAAAGTCATACTTGAATATCTTATTTATAGTCATGGTGAAGAGAAAGTTGACTTTATGCTGGATGTAATCTATAATGTATATATCCAAACTATTCATGCATCTGAGATCAGTGCCTTGCCACGTTTCATGATCCAGCAGAGGGAGTACTTTAAATGTTCGGTGAGGTCCCACCTCTACATAACGCAGCTCGATGAGGTCACCAATCAGGATGTAAAAGATAACTCTGAAGCCAACCATAAAGTGCTTATCAGCAGATTTTATAAACTGTATCAGATACTGATCTCTAAATCTGTGAAACATGGAAAAAGCCAGAAACAAGTTATTTTGTTAAAGTTTATCAGCATTAGCAAGCTAACGTGTCAATAATGGTAAAGAAGGTAAGGGCACAGAAGTTGGGTCCATAGCTGAGCCATAAAGTTTGTTGTGAAGAAAGAGAAAGAGAGCTAAATGGAAAGAGAGCTAATGAGACAATTCCCAAGTAGTGTTAAGGACTCAGGCAAGGCTGGAGAAAATAACCACTACACGTAGTTATACAGGACAGCTAGATGTAAAGATTGTGATTAATTATTATCAGTTCTTTGGATATAGCAAGTCCACAAGTGTTAGTGTGGAGTTTTCAAAATAAAAAAGGACAAATATCAGTATCACCTACTTTCCATAAGCACATACAGCGAGGCCTGTGGTAATATTCAGCTTCTTATAATATGCTTCCAAGATCTGTCTATCATAAGTTCCTTCCCATATGACTGGAGCGAGCCAGTCAGTTGTTGTTATAACATCAGGGCATTTTCTGTTGAACAAAGAAGATACAAATTGAGCAGATATTAATGACAGTAGAAGTTGTCCAAGTGATAGCAAGGGATTCTAGAGTACTTCTATGAGCCAGGCACTGTGTTTGAGTACTTACATAACCCATAATCCCTGCAATGTCCTATAAGGTAAGTGCTACTATTATCCTTATTTTTCATGAGGAAACATGGGCAGAAACTGACTAAATTGGTTAGTATCAGAGAGCTAATCAATGGCAGTCAGGATTAAAGATGCAGCCATCTAGCTGTCTACACCACACTTCCTTTTGAGCCTGGGGATTATTTTCTTTGAGCTCTGACTACAACTTAAATTTAGATACTCGATAGTCTGAACACTTCTATGGTTATTTCCTCAAGTTAACTGTACAATTATTTTAAAAACCTCTTTCTGTACTTAGAATTTGCAAGCATATGCTTCTATTTAAATCTCAAAATCCAGGGCCAGGGATTTAGCTCAGTGGTTCTGCTGGCTGCCTTGCAAGAGCAAGGACCCAAGTTTGATCCCTGGTACCAAAAAAAAAAATCAAAATCCACTTTAAACTGGCCTGGTGTCTCCTTGCCAAGGCATGCTACACCCAAGAACAGTATCCATTTGAGAAGATTAAAGGATTTAATGATTATCCCTCTTTCCTCATTAAATCAGATTAAAGGCTTGTTGCCAGAATGAAAGAAAAAAGTCTCTGAAATCAGAAGGCAATTAAAAACCTGTGTTAAGAAATTATTGAATAAAAGAAGTAGAAGAGACTTGAAGTCATTAGATTTATAATTTAGATATGAAGCTCTTCACGTGGGAGGTAAATGCTGGCCAGAGGGCATCCTCTACAACACAGGCTCTCAGAAATCCTATGGACAAGGAGACTTATCTTCTGGATGTCAGCCAGCAGTTTTTCAGTCACCTTCATTGCTGGTTTACTGAGCCTATGTACAAAGTGGTCCTGGCTATATGGGGGGACGATTGTGCATGGGCTCAGTGACATGGACACTTCCTTCTCTAGGTTGAGCTATAGAGCCAGTGCTGAGTGCCCAATCTGCTCCAGCAGGGACCGATCCTAAATCCTAAACTGTGCAACTGCTTCCTAAGAGGATGAGCCAGCCATCTGATAGCTGATTGAGGATATTAGATTCCACTATAAATGGGACAACACTTTTCCTTGAAATAGTTCTATACCCAATATGGATTTGCTTTCCTTGACTTGAAGAATATCTTATCTTTGTCACAGTATCACACATGTTGCCTCACTCCAAGTATATGTCTTATGGTGAAAGTAGTGTGGCCACTGGCTCACTTTCATGAAGTTCTTTGCTCTTACTATGTGCCTCACTGTCAAGAGGTAGAAAAAGAAGAGGCTTGGTAAAAAGAGGAATGGCCTGCAGAAATCTGTGTCAATGCTGGTTCAGAGGTACTTCTCTGAAAGTTTAAGGTACAGTCCATAGGATACTATCCATTCTTTGAATCAGTGACCAATATGAGATGCCACTTTTTCCAAAGCTAAAATATCGAGTCCACAGGCAAGGTGAATGGGGGAGGGTGTTGTTCATGATTACATCTAATAACTCATTTAGGGCATGTTTTTCTACCATGGTTGTGACTTTAGGTTCCATGGCTTTGGAGTACCTAGTTCATAAGGGAAGAATTTCTCTTTCAGAGAATAAAGTCATGGTTCTATGAGACTAATAACAAATGACTTGGCATTTCTCATGCAGCTGAACTAATAGGCAGAAATAGCATGACGGAGGGGCCAGGGATTTAGCTCAGTGGTTCCACTGCCTGCCTCGAAAGTGCAAGGTCCCGAGTTTGATCCCCAGGACAAGAGAAAGAAAAAGAAAATACTTGGAAAAAAAAAAAGAAATAGCGTTATGGTACTGGCTAGAGTGACTGATTCACATCACACAGGGAATATTAAGTTGCTGTTGCACAGTGGTCACTAGAAGGGCTCTATACAGAACCTAAGGAATTCTCTGGGGTGCCCTGTAGTACTCTCATTTACAGTACTAATGGTCGATGGGAAGTTGTATCAATTCAATAAGGCAGAACCACTCAAGGACTCAGCCTTGTTTATTTTACAATAATGAGATAATGTATACCTTTTTGCCTCTTGCTTTTCTTACTCAATAGTATCTTATGAAAATCCTTCCAGGTTATCTGGACTAATTCATGTTCATTCTTTTTAAATGACTATATAATATTCTAGATCATAAATTTGTTTAACTATTTCCTTACTAATGGACATTGATTATATTTCTGGATGCTTTTTCACTATGAAAAATGATGTAATAAACTTTCCCACTCTATATGTAAAGGTGCATATCTCCAATGATGAATGTCATTATATTGTACACCTAAAATGTACCAATAAAAGGATATACAAAAAATAAAAAATAAAGTTGGTTACACTATAGCAAAAAAAAAAACTTTCCCACTCTATAACCTTATATATTACCCTGTTATTTTTACTGTATAGTCCCAGCAGTGAGATTGTTGGGTCTAAGGGTATAGATATATACATACGTAGGCATGTATTATTGTTAGGGATCAAACTCAGGGCCACTTTACCACTGAGGGCCCTTTCCCACTTTGTGATTGGGTCCCTCTAAGTTGTCCGTGCTGGAACTTTCAGTCTTCTTGCCTCAGTCTCCCAACTAGCTGGGATTATATACATGCAACACTACGGCCAGTTTATTATTTTTTGAGGAGGAATCTTGCAATGTTACCCAGGCTGGCCTTGAATTTATAATCCTCCTGCTTCAAGCTCTCAACTGGTAGAATTATAGAATGCACTACCACTCAGATGTATGTTTAATCTTTTTGTTCTTGTTTTTTTGCAGTACTGGAGATCGAACTCAGGACCTTGTATTTGCAAGGGGGGCCACTGTGTCACTGAGCTAAATCCTGGGCCCTTGTTTAATCTTTTTTTTTTTTTTTTGATACCAGGGATCAAACTCAGGACCTTGTGCTTGCGAGGCAGGCTGTAGCAGAACCACTGAGCTAAATCCCTGGCTTGTTTAATCTTTAATAGATATTATCCAATTATTTTTTGGAAAGACTGTAATATTCACATTTCTACCAGTATTTGTCCTACATTATTAGGTTCTAGATTTTTAAAATTCTACTTTGATTGGTACAAAGCACATTCTTGTATTATTTTACATTTCTCTGATTTCTAGTGAATTTGAGCATGTTTTCATAAGTTCATTGGCTTTCTTGATTCACCCTCTGAGTTTCATATTTCTTCTATTGCATTTTTAGTTTTTTTCTCAGCAATTGATAAGCTCCTTGCATTTAGATAATTACTTTGTAATTTGTATTACAAATAATTTTGTCTAGGAGGTTTTTTAATTTTTTGTCTATCAAATTTTGTGTATTTTTAACCAAATAATAGCTTAACATTTTTATATCATCAAACATGTATTTTTAAAAAGCTGCTAGTTTTCCAGCATTGATATATCCTTGTTTAAATTTTGCATGTTGTCTTGTAGACTTTCTAACAAATTTTAAAAATTGTTTCATTTCCCACACTTAGGTCTTAAAATAAGCTAAGTAGGTTTGTTTTACCACAAAATGTATTAATTTAATAAAATTAAATAAATCCAGGAATTTATTTTTATACATAATGCAAGAGTGGGGCCCACTTTTTTCCCACTTGGATGGGCAGTAGTGCCAACATAACTTATTAAATAATTTGTCCTCTTTCTACTGATTTTTAAAATACCATCTTTGTTATATGTCAAATTTATATACACTGAACTAATTCTGGATTCACTATTCCTCTGATTTTTTTTTTCTTGTTGATTTTATTACAACAGTGTCATAGAGACCTGGACATGGTGATGTGTGCCTGTAATCCCAGCACTGGGGAGGCTTAGGCAGGAGGATTGTTGTGAGTTCGAGGCCAGCCTGGGCTACATAGTGAGTGAGTTCAAGACCACCCTGAACTACATAGAGAGACCCTGTCTCTAAAGACTGAAAAAAAAAAAAACCCCAACAGTTTATGTTCTGATAGTTGTTAAGGCAAGAATCCTCTTTACTTTCTTCTTTCTTATGCTTTTCTTGGCTGTTCTGAAATGTTTATTTTTTTATAGTTACTTTGAGCCTAGGGTTTTTTTTCTCTTTTTCAGTAGGGATCAATAGTGAATGTCCTCCTGACACTTCATATATCAATGTAATTTCATTTCTTCTCTGAATAAGCATCTTAAACTAAAAGCCAATATGATACTAATAAGCATAAGCCTTCCAATTAAAATAACAACTGGCTGCTACCCCCACCGTTCCATTGTTATGGAGTCTGAGTCATTGCAATTAGGGAAGTGGTTACACACATTTATTTGTTCTACAAATACTGAGCTCCTGCTATGTCTAGGCCCATCCTAGAGATAGCCACAGATAAAAGGTGGATAAACAAGAGATATATAGGATGTAGTGTGTTAATGTTGGTGAGTAGGGAGGAAGGGAATGGAGGATGCATTCTTACAGAGTGGCTGGAGAAGGCTTCACTGATAAAGCAATATTTGAGAGGAGTCTTGAAGGTAGTGCAAGAATGAACCCTTTGGCTATTTGGAAGATAAGGTCCATGCAGAAAGTAGGGAAGGGGAAAGGCATACAGCATCCTCCATGTATCTGAGGAACTTCCAGCAAGACAGAGTGACAGCAGTGAGCGAGGGAGGGGGGGCAACTGTTGAAGATGAGGTCAGAGAAACTGTAGATGTTGGGATAGCTATTTTATTTATAACTGAGAGAAGACATTTATGATACATACAGCTGACAAAGGATTAATTTCAAGAATATGTGGGGTGTATCAGTGAATTTAAACTGAATATTTAAATTAAACATTATTACAGTAAGACACATTGCAATTAATTCACTTCAAAATACTCCCCCTCATTTCAAACACACTTATCCCATCATTCTTGCTGCTTTCTGAAGTGGGTCTGGAAGTCCTCTTTCATGAGTGTCTTTAGTTGTGCTGTCATGGCTGCCTTAATCTCTTGAATCCATTCAAAATGTTTACCTTTCATGTTTTTTTTTCAATATAGGGGAAGAGCCAGAAGTCACATGGAACCAGATTCCATGAAGAAGGTGATTGATTAAGGTGGATGAGGACACACTGTAATGTTTTCATGAGCCTGCTTTTCCACTGGATGGCACTGAGAGCTGCATTCACCATGTTTTTGATCACATCTCGTAAAGACACTCACAAAAGAGGACTTCCAGAATGGCTTCAGAAAATGGCAGGAACAATAGGATACGGGTATTGAAAGTGAGAATTTTGAGAGGGATTAATGGCGATATATTTTTTACTATAATCAACTTTTAAATTTAAATATTCACAGTATATTTGGATCATACCTTATATTCTATAAATCAACAGACAACACACACAGATAATTCAACAGAAATGGGAAAAATCTGTCATTACATTTAATTGAAGAGGAATCATGTGAAGAAACCTTTCACTGCTTTGGTAATTAAAGAAATTTAGAAGACCATAAAGAACAAAATATTCCTGCCCATTGTGTAGGCAATGTTGAATATCAGAGACCATGCACAGCAACAAGATGTATTCTTCTTGGCTGGTGAAAGTTTAAGTTGGTGTATCCACTTTGGAAAATATTATTAGCTCTGTCTCACAGGTTGAACATTCACATGCTTTACCACTCAGGGGTTACATACACCTCTACCCCAGAAGCCTGTATAAGGTTGTGGCAGTACTGTTCAATGACAGCAAAAACCTAGAAACAATTCCAATGCCCAATGCCCATTTACAGGGCAGTAGTGAAATACACTGTGGCATATTTCTGCAGTCAATTATTATGCAGCCATCTAAATGAATGAGGTGATATAGGATTTCTGAATGAATTTTAGCAATCTAATATTAGGGGAAAAATAAATCCCCAAAGACAATATGCAGTGTGATATCCTTTTGATAAAGAGGATACACATTTATATTTATAATACCAAAAAAGCAAGTGGATGATGAATGAAGGTTCAGGGTAGTGGTTTGTTCAGGGGATCAAATGAGGATAGAGCAAGAATATGGGAAGTGATACAAATGTTGAAGATGTTAAAGTTAATGAAAGATGTAATCTTTGTTTCAGTAGAATAAAAAAGAAGGCAAGAGGAAATAATATATAGAGTTTGCATGAGCCAATGACGACATGTATCATGAATTTAGGATTATTTAGGTAATTCTGTCCACCTGTGTTTAAAGATGCAAGTATGAAAAAATTTATATAGGATGAAATGCAAATTGGTAATAAATGTACAAAAGATGCTCAAACTCGGTAACAACTGAGAAATGAAAATTGAATTATTTGGGGGAGGTGAATATTGGAGATTGAACTCAGGGTGTGCTGAGCTATATCTACAGCTCTTTAAAAATTTTTTGTTTTGTTTTTTAATTTTTAAAAATTTCATTAGTACATGTTTGCAGTGCATAATGTTTGCATTCATCTTAGGGTGTAGGTTTTCATGTTTGTTTTCATGGGGCTTTTTGAAATTTCCTAGGCTAATCTTGAAGTTGTGATCCTCCCGCTTCACCTTCTTGCAAGGTATGTACCACCACATCCAGCTTGAATTAAAATATTTTAACTAACCATTTTGGCAATAATAAATTATTTGGCCTTACTAAACTAACTATTGTCAAATAAATAAATAAAATGAAAAATAGAGAAAATATTAATAATGTTTCTCCACTGCAGATTAGAAAACAAATGGTGCAATTATTAAAAGGAAATTGAATCAGTAGCCTAAAAGAACAACCTGAATAAAAGATTTAAATCTATATCCTTTTAACTGATGGCTCTTCCCTAGGAGTTTATCCTACAGATAAATTCACACAGTGATATAAAATATTCAAACAAGAATATTTGTTGGAAAATTACATACAGTGATCCCCAGATTATCAACAGCACAAAACCAAAAGGAGCATGGTTAAATAAAATAAAGTGCTATGCAGTGATAAAATTGAATATTAAATAACCATAGAAAGAATACAGTTCTCTCTTGAATGTCAATGCCAAAGTCAAGAGGAGCCATTAATGGCAATTAGGCTGCTTGTAAAGACATTTTGATTCATCTAATAATACCGGGAATGTTAAATTAGACAGAATATGACAGTTTTCTAATTACAACACTTAATTGCCTGATCTTGTCAAATATATCCTAGATTTACATGGAAAAGATCTACAAGTAAAATCTTTTACTCCCAGGATATCTACAATTTGATGACAGAAAAACCCTTAAGATTGAGCTACATTATTTCTCAAGAGAAAAAGTTTTGTTCTTACTTAGGATTAAACCAGGCTGAGAGCTGAGGTTCTTCCACTTGATCATTCCTTGGAACAAAGACAAAAATCAAGTAGATTATTTAACTCAGTCAGTAAATATTTGTTGAGCTCTGATAATATGACAGGCGCAGTTTTGTACTAGTTCTTCAACTGGGAGCATTTAAATCTAGCTCCTGCCTGCAGAAAGCTTACAGAATAGCAGGATGCACAATATAAAATGGACAATCACAGCATGTTTTTGCTGTAGGTGCTAAGAGAGAAAAGTGGACCTCTGTGGGAGGATGTAAGTGGGGCTCCAACATAAATTTGGGGTGAAGGGAAATCCTTTAGTGAAGAAATACATAAATTGGGTCTGGAAACATAAATAAGGGTCTGTCCAGGAAAGACATGATAAAAAAAGTCACAAAAGGGAGAAAAAAGCAAAGGGTGTTTTTGTTGGTGAAGGGATATATTTAAATAATTAACAGAAAGATTAATATTCAGAAAATGCAGATTTAGTTAATTCATTAATTAGTTATTAGTAGCTTACCATATGATGGCTACTTCATTATGTGTTGAAATAATGAAGCTGAAGTAAAGGTCCAGATGTTTGCCTTTGATTTTAATTTAAAGATAGGCTTTGGGACAGGGGATATAGCTCAGTGATTCTGCCCCTTGCCTTGCAAGCACAAGGGCTCGAGTTCAATCCCTGGTACCAAAAATAAAATAAAATAAAATAAAGATAGGCTCCAACTAAGGTTTTTGTTTTACTTTTAATCATTCAACTAACATGTTATCAGTCAACTTCTTTTTCATAAACCTGGAATATTTTGTGAAATAAAAATAACTTTAAGCAATTGTTCTGAAAAAAAATGGAGTAGTTTAATTTTCCCTATTTCTCCTACAAAAGTCCTAGAT